GGCCACCCAGAAATGAGAGGTGCTCAAATTCGAGGTCTGAAGCCCATCGCTGGTGTTACAAATGGCCGTAGCACAGGCACATCAGCCGTGCATCTGGATAGTCGGGACTCGTTCTGGCTTTCGTTCTGCTGTTGTCAGCGATTCCATCCTGCCACAATTGACAGAGCCATCCTGGCACAGACAGTTACCCCGAGGGCAGGTGCAGATGATGATAATAGAGAGCTTTCCTCGTGTTTCCTGGAAGTAATAAAATGTCTATCCAATTTTGCGAATACAGTGACATGGATCATCTCTGAATGACAACTACGCTGCCATACCTTCTTCCTGTAATTACGCCTTCTGTTTGTCATATGGTGCAATTTAATGACAACCGACATCCAGATTTTCCCCCATAGAGTGCTTGGGTCCCGTATACTATAAATCCTTCAGCCTGTTGTTACCGGAAGCTTTTGGGAAGGGAACACCACACGCCCACAGAGAAGTGCCACATCAGAAGGCCGCGTCAAAGGCCTGAGATCACGGAATTTGTTTAAGGTCAGGCGGCTGCATCCAGAATGCCTGATTGGCCCCTTAATAGGCGCTACTCACAATAAGGAAGATCCTAGACCCTCATACCAATTAGTTGTGTCCCCTATTCTTCTTCTTCTGTTATAAATAATCACTCCTGGGAAATTCAAACTGTCTGACAATTTGCTTACGTTTAAGCTTTCTGTCCCTGGAATGAAAGCAAAGCCCAGGGAAGGAGGTAGTTGAGCAGAATCCACAGCAAACAGCTTCATTAGACAGCAGCCCAATATGCAGGGTGCTGATAACATTTTCCTGGCTGCGGGACGCTAATGAATTTGAAGCCAGAAGTGCCACTTTCAAAACTATCGTCAATTTTGAAGGAAACCAGGGGCATAGTAACCAGGGGGGAAATGTACCCCTTAATATTTAATCATTTAATTTGGCTTTCTTCATGCCCCCCCCCCACACAAAAAAAAAGCCCTTAGCATTTAAATTGTTAAATTGTGTCTCCCCCGCCCCCAATATCACAATCCCTCCTACGCCCTTGAAGGAAAAACATGGTCTCCGTTTCGTTTTTACGCGAGGACGACCCAAAGAAAGGAGCTGGTCTGGTTAATTGATTAGCCAGTCGTCACCTACAGTCTACAAGCCAGTACGCCAGCACACACATCACAGAAATACGGCCAGCACCCATCATGAGGATGCATCTCGTCCAGTCAAATGTCTCCGTTTTAATTCCTGTCCTTTTCATTGGTGAATTACGGCTTGGGCCATGATGCGTATGGCGGAGGTGTGTGTGTGTGTGTGTGTGTGTGTGTGTGTGTGCGTTTGGGGGGGGACATCATAAGGTTCCTGTCCAGGGGCCTGTGATTTCTCACTCCTCCAGTGGTTCTATCAGGTTCTTCCTCGGTATCATCTCTGTCTGACTGGTCGGTGTTATCCCTGGTGTCACTCTAACTCTGTTTTATCATACCGTCCTTGTCATCTTGCATTCTACAAGACTGGATCTCTATTTCGCTATCATTCTGTTAATCTCGTATATCTGCTTTACCGTTCTATGACTGGCCTTTCATCTTCTGTTTCTGTGCTTGCAGCTTCAGTGGAAATATCAGACGCTAAAGGAACTCTGGGGTCATTACAGTTTACTTGATTAGCTTTCACATTATTAGCTCAGAGAAGCTTTTACAATGGATGACTTACACTGTTGCAAGTTCACACTCTCTTCATTTATGCTATTCGATATGTAGCATCTTTCAAATGGAAGCAAGATCAGACACATATCAATGATTTCTTCCTAGATTTTCTCAAGCTAACGGCTGATTGGTCAAGCCTCGTAACCACAGTGCCATTGGTTCAAAAATAAAGATACATGCACGCACAAATGAAAGCTTTCATTTTCTACATGAGTATTATGCTGACACAGTAAGCAACACATTACCCTATCCAGTCATAGAGTAAAAAAAAATTCACTGATGTAAACACTTTCACAGATCTAGCGGACCGAAATAACTGATAAACTTTGTAAGAGTTTTTCATTTAAAGGAATAAAACAATGTCAAATTAAATCCATACTGTGGCATTCTGGTTACTTCTGAAAATCTGTTATGTAGAATCGCAAACAATCCCAGCTACATGGTTCAGCTGTAACATTGGCTTATTCACATGCCAGGCCAAATGCCTCTGAACAACTGCCAACAGTAATACAGTACTTTTGTTCTCAAATGAACATATGAACTTCCAGAGACCTTTTATAAACCACTCATGCTTTTATCGAAGCTATTGTAATATAATCACTAATGTAGAGATAACAAATGTCTTAGACAAGAAGCATGGGAGCAGGTTTCAGGAACTAGATTTATTGAATAATTGTTTGGAAGGATTAGTTCAACCGCCCAGGCCCAGTTCAGCCTGTTTTGACACTGACCATTAAAAGTGAAAACAGGAGTGTGGCTAAAATATAGAAAACTATGAGAAATTAACACTCTGAGCAAAGTGGCAGGTAAGAGCTTTGTCTGCAGACATGAAGTCATTGATTGGCCAATTTGTGCAGCTCAGCAAGATTCCAGACTCCCAGTCTTGATTTCAACACAAGAACTTGGCCAATGCAGCAGAGAATGAGAGAGGGGAAAAAACGTTCTCGAAAGCAGCCTTGTCTTCACTGACCTCCCAAATCACTCTTCAGCTGCTGCTTCTGAATATATAATCTACTACAGGAACATTCTCTGACATTCTGAGTATGGTCTGTTGCATCGTGCTTGGTAAGCCCGTTGCATTTGTGGGGCAGAGAAATTGAGATGCTGTATTTAGTGAGCAATGCATTGCGTTCAAGGAAGACCCAGTGATCTGGGTGGAGGGAACATTGTGTTTAATGGGCAAAATAGTCAAATATAGACCAGAGAGAGAGTCATTGCTTTTCGAGGGTCCAAACAAAGAGCATTAAGGTCAATTATCTGTATCTGTCCCACAGCATCATTAACTGATAGACATGGTGATGTTGTGGTTCAGCCTCAGATGGATTAATTAGCCAGTTATTCAGACACCGATCATATTCAGTTATCCATGAAACACTGGGGCAGCTATCAAATATTCTCTGTATTTTGTAACTTTTTTTTTTTTAATTGAAGAAAATATCTGTATCAGCAAAAAATGTCACATAAGATATATGCTCCCCATTTTCCAGTGAAGCCCAGGAGCATTCAGTGGATTTCAAGGTGAAACAGACCTTGGTGTAGAGGAGGAAACGACTGGACTCTTGGGACAAGGAGTGTATTTAGGGCGCTGGGGCTGGGTATCGATTCAGTGGTTTGGGTTACAAACGAAAACCGAGCGTGCAGCGGAGTGGGATGACCCATGCATCCCGTGCAGTGGCGGTGTCACTCCTGAGGCGACGTGGAACACTGCAGGCACACGATGCTACGCTTGGCAGCGCGTCTGCGGAGTTCCGCACTTAGAGCTGCCAGCGGGAACTTTTCTTTTCTGCTTGGTAAGTGCGATTCGTGCATTTGGAGATTGTCTGGGTGGGGGAGGCGAAACACTAAAGAGATTGTGATGGACTGAAGACAGCCCCATTTTATAAATCAGTAGCTGGAAAGAAAACAAGAATTTATAGGTTAAATTAAGAGGAGCCATACAAATTATAGATAAGAAGAAAAGAAACTGAATAGGGGAGCTGTTGGAGTGGCCCTCCATTATTTACTAGCCACAAAAATGAGCATTAAATATGGGGAGAACTTGAATAAGCCCAACAAACCAACATGCCGATTTCGGTCCCAAAATCTTTCACTGTGCTTATATATGGACACATGCACAGCGAAATAAATAGGCTACTAGATATGATAATCAACCGCCCCAACGAATGACAAGTTAGCTTAATATGTTAAAAACGGTGTCTGGGACATATGTGTCACATTGCTAGTAAAAATGAAGCGCCCCCCCCCCTCCCCTCCCCACAGGAGTGTATCGCTCAGCATCTTTCGCACCTACTAAGGCGTGACAGACGCTTCGACGAGTAAGCAAATCAAAGATCGGCGCGACAAACACAACACGAAGAGCACAAACCTCCAACTTTGTGTTTTCCTATCAGAATAAAACAGTTCTGTTGGAAAAACTACTGCTACCGATTGATTTTATGAATGTTTCTCTCGGTGTTTCCCAGTGGCGCTGGCCAGCCGCGGTAGGTTCTGAAATAGGGAAGGAAATCCCAGCCTAAGTAAATTTATCCTGTATAGAAATGAATCCTTGTATTCATTCCCTTCCCCAGTTTTACCGTATGTGTTTGAAACAGGTTTAAGCTTTACAAATCATATGTGGCAATGTTATTACAAACAAAAGACTAAGGATGTACCGTTTTAGCGATTTTTATTCGGATATTATGCGAATAATTAAACGAGATTGAAATTATCGATCTAAACTGTTTGTATCGACCTTAAATAAAGAAGCACTTGACACTGGTAGGTAGGGGACTGTCTGCTGAAAATGTGTTTAGACCGGAGCGGAGTATACATGAAAAATAGGCTATACAGATATTTAACACAGTAACATTTAGGCGTATAGGCATATAACAACGACAATAATAATAATAATAATTATAATAATAATAATAATAATAACAAATAACAATCATATTCATACGAATATTCATAATAATAAGAAGAATGAACTATTATTATTATTATTTGCTTTAGGCGTTTATTATATTTCTCGAAAGAATGAATCGTTTTATTAGACAGAAACTCTCAAAGCATGAAACCAGCGAGCTTCTGGTGCACAGTAAAATCGTTGGCAAGACAATCATGCATGATGGGCTTGAGTACAGACATGCTGTGCACTTTGTATATAACTTTTTAAACCTGATTTTACACTTCGGTCCGATCGATATAGACAGCCAGAAAATGCTTGCGCGACATATACCTCTCAAAGTACCGGACCCCGGTACATTTTCTAGCAATGGTGATATTCCCCTCTGCAAGGAACTGAAAAAAACCACTACTTACACATAAGCGTGATAAATAAACGCCCATCCCCTTGGTCTCTCCAACACATTGTAAAGGAAATTCTGCAGCTTTCGGTAAAATGCGTTTCTTTTGGGAGGTTTCCGCGCAACTGAGATGCTGGACCTGGGCTTGCTCAGAATGCTGCCCCGCTTGATGGCTTCGGACCCCGCGATGAGCAGCGCCCCATCTCTGCTCGTGTCGGCGGCTCCAGCATCCAGCCCAACAAAGCCGACTTTCAGCTTTTTCTCCGCAGCTGGACCTGGGTACACGCCGCCGTTGCTGGGTTTTTCTACCATGCTTTAAGATCTTCCGTCATGAAAGGCCAGCTGGGGAGACATTCAACCCTTTGCCGGGTATGAGCATCGCAGGGGCTGGGCGTGTGGAGACAGTGGTGCCTTTGTGGGAGCTGAAACACAGTCTCCTCCTAGAAAACCAATTGAAACGCGCTTCAAGATCCGCATTGAGCACGGTCTCCCACCTCGCCTCCTTCCGGCCACCTGACAGCGAAGTGAAGGGGGCGGGGGGGAGCCTTGAATTATTCAGAAACAAAAACTGATATAACGTCAGCAAAAATACTCTCCAAGAGCCTTAAAATGGGCTGCACTGCCCAGAAGCAACACCGGATTAGGCTTACCGCAAATGCATGGAATCAGACAGGATCGTTTGTTTGATTAATAATCAATAATAACGATATACTGTTATTAATAATAACATTTCAAAATAAGCGGTATGTTTTCAGTTTACAGATATAGAGTTTGAATTGTGAGGAGACTGACATTTTTTCCTTAAAGTTCGTTCTAACAAATGAAAAATTACAGTAAAATTGTAATCTACTTTAAAGCAACTAAGAATCCGTTTTTCCCTTCTTATTTCCATAAACAGCAGCAGGAGGTAAATTCAAATCCAAGGTCTGAAAGTTAGAATGAAAAATATGTGTTTTCAAAAGACCAGCTGATCAAGGCTATCAAAGCATGCTGGTCCTTGGTCTGTAGTCTCAATAAATTCTTACCAAAAAGCAGCAAAACTCACACAAATGAAACTGTTAAGATGAAACTGTTATTGTTATATGTTCCTTCTTAAACAGTAGGTGGTAATATTCTTATTTAGGGCTCCATTCACCCATTTTTCAGAACTGCTTATCCTGTTTGGGTTGCAGTAATCCAGAGTTTGTCCCAGGAAGTACAGAGCATTAGAAACTGAACATTCTGGATGGGATATCCAGCTTGTTCACTGGGGCACCATTTTCCTAGATTCTTTTCAGTGTGTCCCCACTTATGCACTGAGCTTAGATTTGATAGTTTCCTATTTCACTGTAAGCTTTCCCCCCCTCATTTCCCCCAAAATTTCTCACTATTCATTTGTTTCTCACAGATTCATTTGTTATAGAATGACCTGACCATTCAATACAGGTTATGTGAGTTAATTTGCTTTGTCAAGCCTTCTATTCGAGGGTAAACCTTCACGAGGGAATCAAAGATAAAAAAACCCTGACGGTCTATGTTGACCCTTTTCTTAGTAAACAGTTATGGAAATGGGATGGATGTTTAATATATGGCGCAAAAAATGTAGAATATGTTTATGTTTACATAGCGTTTGTGTCAGACAAGCATGTCAGATAAACAAGAATTCATAGAAATTGATCTTGACAATATTATGAATCATTAGTTCTGAGGAGAAACACATTTCCAGTATGGTCAATACTCAAGTTCAGATTTTTTCCTGTAAAAATCAAGCTACAGTTACTGAATTTGATCAGTAACAATTTGGAAGTCAACCCCTGTTTAAAACAATGTAGTAATAGATTGCACACACTCTTGTCAGGCATCTTGGGCTACTCAGTAAAGATATACTTACCCACGGGCATTACTTTAGGTCCCCCATAATTTCTGCAAAGGTCCTTATCTGACACTTTTATCCAAAGTGACTTACAACAGAGGGTTACCATTTACATGTGATCCCGGGATTCAAACCCACAACCTTAGCACAAAGTTCTATTTATTGAGCTGCAGGAACAAACAACAACTAAACAAATGGATTCGCATGCTACAGCACTTTACTTACAGCTTTACCCCCTACAGGTACTCCTAAGGTACCTGTGCAATATTTCCCTCCAAGACACAAACAAAAAAACCCTATACACTAAATAATATATAGCCTGTCTGTTACAAAATAGCACACAGCATCGAAATTGCCTACCATCACTTATATGAGAAAATGGCACTTTATTATATATCAATAGGGAGTTGATACTAGGGATGAAACAACTCAAAATAGGTAGGCTGGGGTAACCATGGAAACTCTGGATACTTCCATCTATGTGTTCATGTCGGGTAATATGATGAGGACTGGGTGACCCTGTTGTATGAAAAGCTGGTCAGAAATGCCTTTTCAATCTCCACGGTCTGGTACTGGCAGATCAGGTGATGTGTCCAAATTAGTCTTAATAATGCCAGGTTGCTGAAAGCCATTTTCAAAGGACATGAAAATTATTCTGACAAACCAGTAGGTGCCTTGGCCAAAGTACGCCTCTTCAGTTTCAATGGCTACTTTCATTGGTTTTCAGAATATTCTGGGTGGTACACTGGCAAACAAGCAAGCAAATGAAGTGTCATGTCATGTTTCAAAATACCTTCTAATTAAATGGCATACATAATGAATAGCACAAATGCAAAAAAGTGCACAAAGGCAAATTTTCTATCAAACTGCCGAGACACCCTAAGGGACAGTTTTGTACCAGCTGAATTATCCCGGTATTCTGATGATCTTTCCAACTCAGCTGAACTCACTTGTCTTTCCGGAGAAATGAATGTTGCCAAACAAATATCTCTGCCCAGGTCCAGCAAAGCTGAGAACCTTAAACCAACCATGCTGTCAGTGGAGCTGCATGCCAACTCCCCCCCCCCCGGGAAGCGGCGTCGATGCCTTCCAGGCTCAGAGGGTAACTCTCACCTTTCCTTCCCTTGGAAATATCATCCAATGGTGAAACATTCGGCCGAGTCCGTAGCAGCACATGTGGGCATCATTGGCCTTCACAAGCTCCTGATCGAGAGGCACTCACAATGAAACACTTAATATACTTTTGGGAAAGATGGTGGGTGGGGGTCAACTATAGCTATAGCCCTCAGCTAAGGAAATCAGTGCTTATTGGTACACGTCCCTCCTCATGCTCTCCGCCGTGATTTTTGCAGGGCGTGAATCATGTAAATATATGTCCATGGCTTCACAGCCTTGGTTCTCTCTGTGCGATGCGCACACCCAGGCAGAAAGGTGCCAGATATTTACAGGCTCACACCCACCACACACAATTCATTTCGATTTCATTCTCTCTGGCACCATCGGTTACCATCACCTCTTCAAGGGAGGGGAACTTGGTGCATTTCCAACAGACCACTTTTAACTTCAAGGCAGCCTTGGACTCAGGAACAAGGATTTTCCTTTTTTGTACAGGATCGTATCTTTGTAGGTGCAGTAATGTGAGGCAGAAACAAACTGCAGTCAGTAGAGGAATGTGATAGAGATACATCTTCATAAGAATCCTCTAGCTCTCTGGCCAGCTCTAGTACTGCAGGTTGTATTAATTCCCTTCAAGATGCCTGAATTGCATGGGGTTTTTGTTTCCCCCTTGACACTGTTATATCTTATTGAATGACACCAGACGGTACATGGGGCATTTAAGATACCATGTGGCATATAAAACAGCACCTTCTAACCCCATGAATCTGCTGTGTATTCCTGGAACACGCCGCTGTGAAAGGATTTTAATGCTGCTGACACTTCTGACACATTCTTGGTTTTCTTACGTATACTTTTTTTTCCTCACCACAATTGCTTAGTGCCTGAGAATATCCAAGAATGCAATTTGAGGTGTCACTTATGGACAGAATCTGAACATGGCGAGTTGCATCGTATCACAGAAATGAAGACACCTCGCTTTTTGGAATGGAAACATATAGATCGCGTTTGCTTGCTGGGAGATCCAAATGAAATGAAAAAATATATTAACCTGAAAATGAATTAGCAGAAGTCACAGAAACTAAAAAAAACAGAAAGCATAGCTTTATTTATAGTTAAGGGAAGAAATCATTACTAAGCCTTATGAAGAGCTCACTGAAAAGACTATTACTTCTACTAAGTTGACTTAGTTGAGACCAAAACCAGAATTGGGGTCATAACTAAATGGAATTTAAAATGGGATTAATTTTATATTCCTATACACATTCTAAATTGAAATAAGCTCTACATAAAGTAGCTCAATTTCTCAAATGACTAATATGCAGCTGTACTTGAAACGCATTTTTCTGCATTTAGAGAAGACTCTGTAAATCACATACAGAGTAGCCAAGCATATATATCAGGCATATATTAGTCACAGACCGTGGGAGTCTCCTTCTGGTAAGGAAAAATCACCTGACTACCCAGATCATTTGATAAATGGCTGGAACCGGGGAGATCAGTCAGAAATGGAGCTGCACAGTAAAATCTCATTCCTGGAAACCTGGAAGAGAACCTTAGACAGTCCTGTGGTTCTATTGTGCCACAGAAGGTACTTTGACAGAGGGAGTTACAGAGCAAATAAATCAGACCAAATCAGAAATCAGTTTACTGTTTTGTAAATATTTTATTAACTAGCAAATAAAGGTTACATTCACAACAATAACTATAATGATTTGAGGGGAGAAATTAAAACTTTTCTGTACAAAGTTTTTAGACCACAAATAAAAATATATACAATTAATATTTAGAAAAAATACATAATTATTACATATAATTATGCAATACGTATCCAGGCATATTGATAACTCAAAGTTAACAGATTCTTGGTTCGTATATAGGACAAGTTACTTTCAATAACAGTACTGCTTGAAGTTTCTAAGACTGGCCAAGTAACTGCTTATATTACATATTGAGCTAATGGATGTGGTGAATGCATACGGTCTGTCCTTGTGGATTAAATTGTGTTTAGTACAGATATGAGAACAAGTTTGTCAGGCAAGTTTCTTCAATAAAAACCTATTTTGGGTAAAGGCATCTGGCATCTAACTGTATAACATTTTTGTTCAAAGATCACAATCTTAAGAAAAAGTTAAAGTGTACAAATAGTTTAAAGATGTCTGAGGGAGGTTTACATTTCGTAGGTTACCAGCTGGTTAACAGAGAATAAAATGTTCAAAAGTGTTACACTGTTCAGCATTAGGCTTTACACTGGTAAGGTCAGATACACGGTCAGTGCACATTCACAGGCTTTTGCAGTGAACCCTGACTCTAGCCTTTCATAAAGGACAAATTCAGGGAAAAACACCAATCAGAGGACATAAGGGAGAAAGTCAATTTACTAAACAGCAAAGTTAAGCATTAGAAGCCAATTTTAAAGTCCATCATAGTTCAGCTTATAGAGACCTTTCTGTTGTGACTTAAGCTCTTATTATAACATATAAAGCAAAAAAGTCCTTTATAAGCAGTCAAGGCTTGGATACTGCCAAATATAAATCCCACCCTCTAGCCCACCGTCTGTTTTGTTTGTTATTTATCAGTATTACTTATTATTATTTTATCTTTACACAAGCATCTTTCCTTTACTTCCCGAAGAGCCATTTACCAAGATGCCCTGATCCAAAACGAGAGGCACGGTAACTGAAACAGAACCTTCAGAGCATCAGCTGCACTGCAGGAAGCAGCACCATCTGTGCTCAGTCTCAGCTCGGGTTCAACAAGGGAGAGAAACTTCCAGAAGTTGCACACTGACAGGAGAGACGTGGCACATCTGAGAACATGCGAAACGGAACGAGGCCCTCCAATAACATGGCAGGAGAGGAAGGAAAAAAAAGGCAAATCCAATCAGATTTATTAAAAAATTAAACAAAAATTGCTGTGTGGTTTAATAAAATATTTACTACTTGAGAAAAAAAAAACAAGTACACTTTTTAATTCAAATAGGGAAGACAAACACTTATGACAGAAAAAAATACACCAATAATATTTATTAAGGGTAACAAAACAATTTAACTGGATGTAAATAAATCAAATCTAATAGTAAAAAAATAAACCTTCAAAACTGGACAATTGGACAATACTTGTTAATTTATAAATGTATAAATTTCTACAGAGTGCCACCTCAAAGAACAGGCAGAAAGAAAGACATTAAGTCACAGTGCAAATATCTGCGTGTTTAAAAAAAAAAAAAAGAAAGAAAAACTGTCACCGGCACTTGAATGGTCACTGCACTAAATCACATTTAAGTCCTGACCGAGTGTTAATCACTGTCCACTTAATGAAAATCACGCAGTAATAGTCCACCAAGGTTACAGCTTGCCGAAGTAACCAGCGTCCATGTCGTTCTAAACTCGATTGCTGTTTGAAGAACCATCTCAAGACAGAGAGGGACATGTAACCTAGCCCAGCTCAAAAAGAGCCCGTTGTTAAATAAGAAGACTGTCCTCCATATAGGCAATGCCATCCTACCAGGAACTTAGGCTTTTGTCAATTAGAAATACTCATTCTGACACCGATTCCAGTTCAATGCACTCAAAGTGTCAATGTCTGCCCTTCTTGTCAAGTTACTCAAATGTACAGTATTATTAAAAAGAAATACATGCTTTAAATTAGACTAATACAGATTCACAAACATTTTTTAAACACTGTCCTTCAGTAAACAGCATATACTATACATGGTGGTCCCTCTGAAAATAAAATCTGGTTATAAATATGTACACGAAAATAATACACCATAGCTAAAAATTTAACAATGCGAGGATTACACCTTTAAAATTGAGTGATCCCTCTTCCCTCATAATTGTACGAATGTGTTTATAAATCTCTCCTTTCCTTCAGTAAATCTTCCGAGGAAGGTTAAAGAAACAGTGCGTACGTAAGAATGATGATATGCTTTAAAAAAATCTTGAAAAAGTTTATGTCTGTGCAGGCTGGGAAAAGCAACATTTAAAATTCGGTAAAGGGCATGGCTATGAATATCTTCATAATGTTAAACAGTAACAATTTCCGCAATGCTGCACTGCTACATCTTGCAATACTCAATAACAGAAAAAATTAGAGAGGAAAACAGATTCAAGCATAGGATTTAAAGGCAAACTTCCTTTCTGTTAAATACTGTGACATTTAACTTGGAATACTTCTAGTTTTTTTCAGTCTTCTTAATACCTGAAATTACTAACAAATTTAATGCCCCTTTCAGTACGTTGACAGACAATAAATAGCATGTTAAGATACTAAGATACCAACTCTGTATAGTGCAGTAGTACTCAAGCCAGAATACACTGATTGCACATTCTCCACACACCTCGGGCAGTGACCCAGGGATGGTGACCCCAGCGGCCGTGCCTGGCGTGCGTTAACTGAGGATGGAATGTTAGAGCTGTAGCCACAGTCCATTGCGGGGGAACCGGGGGGGGGGGGGGGGGGGGGGGGGGGAGCTCATCCCTGACAGCGCCGATGACCCAGGCCCCCTGTGCCTTGTCCCCAAAAGGTCTTAGGTAATCAGGGAAGACCGGCGGTGAGCTGGTCTCTCGTGGCAACTGCCTAAGCCGGCCTAGAGTCTGTATTTTAATCTTCAACTGTCACACTGTCTAACCCCGACACAGACTCTGCAGCATGAATCATCTGCAAGCCCCTCGCCCCCCACCCCCCCCCGGTCGCCCCTCTCCAAAAGGGTCCAGTTTCTGCTGCGCCCAAGTGACAGACATGAGGAAAGGCGGGTAATTGAAGCAAAGGTGGTCTTTACAGATCCCCATCAGAGGGGGGCAAACACAACCTGTACAACCTGCAGAGAGGGGAAAAAATAATATTAAAGAATGTCTACAAAAAGGCCTCGTCCAGACACAATTTTCAACCTGGAATGTGCCTTATATAAACCTAAAGCAGTGTTTCTCAACCCAATCATATGGGACACATATTTTTGCTTCCTCCCTGAGCACACATGTACCAGGTATGGGGTTCTTCATTGTCTGGTTCAGGTATTTGGGGCTCTTCATTGTCTGTTTTGAGAATATGATGTCCTTGATGTTCTTGATTGTTTGGTTCTGGAGTCCGTAATGTTGATTGTCTGGTACAGGAATTTCTATTTTTTGCTTGTTTGGTTGAAAAACACTGAACTACAGGCCCTAGTTAGTGCATATGATTCAGCATGAATCTGCATCCTCTTAACCCAAGTACTGCCATCCTTCATTGAGCTACATAGCAAAATGAAGTCATCATTGTTACTGCCAGAAATAATTTATGGATGTCTTTCTCATAGAAGAACCTCCTACTTGCACCAAATAATTTCATTCCCAGTTTGATTTCAGTGGGGCCACAATGAACGGTATTCGTTTTCCACAACACACCACTTCTGAGTGTGAGAGGCCAGAGTCGCATGTTCACAGGGCACTGCTGTCATACCACTGATTACGGCGCTTGACCAGTAATGATCTCATGCCAATAAAGTACTCACTGCAGGATTAGCAGATCCATGCATTGCGTGGCACCATCTCACATACAGCCCACAAAGCCATCTCAAACTCACCTTGGTGCAACAGAAGGCATCTGGTCCATCACTTTGAGATTTTTGGCTGATATTTCCACTCGGGTGCCCTGTTAAAAGACATTCCCCTCACGGTAAATCTCACTTTCTGCTCCTCTTCTGCCAGTGCAGTCTGAGATCTCCTAAGAGACCCCCAGGCAGGGTACTTCACAAATGACTACTTCTAATCGACTCCCTTTAACTAAATTTCACAAGGCCGATATTTATGGCAAACGGATCAACATGACAGATTAACGTGGGAAGCGGAGGCACCTGTTTGCGCATGATGTCAGTGGCTTGCATGAGGCAGCGTGGCTGCAGGCCGTGGTTGCGGGCCAGGAGGACGGCCTGCTCCAGGGACACGCTCAGGGTACACCTGTGTGAGAGAGAAGGTCAGCTGGGCCCTGAGGAGGACACAGACATGGAGAAAAGGCACAAGCAACCTCGCTGCCCGGAAGACAGACCAGCCGAATACAGAGAGCCGATCCATTCATCCCAACTCCTTTGGGCGTCGCCATGATACGCGAGAGACAGAGACACACACAGGTTCAACTGTCTCATACTGGTTAAAGGTCTAGACCAGAAAAACATAAGAACCTGTCTGTTCCAGTGCATGCCCTCTCCGCACTCTCTCCCTCTGGGAAGCAGGACCAGGGCTTCGTCACAAACACTACCGATTTCAGAGGCAAACCATCCAGTCCCTAAACAACCTGCACCTGTCCGTCCCACAACTGCTGTATTACACTGTTCTGTTCTCACTTATTTTGTCTTGCACTACTCCGGTATCGCACTATTGTTTGCACTACCCCCCCACAATTGTGGTGCAAGAACACCATGTTCCCCCAATACATGCGAAAATAAAAACTTGAACTAATTGTACCAGTCTGCCAAGGTACTTAACCTGCTTAATATCCATTTGAATAAATAAATGATACTTGCTTCACACACTGCGACCCTTAAGAAAGTGGTCTATGGATGGATGGATGGATGGATGGATGGATGGATGGATGGATGGATGGATGGATGGATGGATGGATGGATGGATGGATGGATGGATGGATGGATGGGTTTTCTTGGCAGGAAGACAGGCAGCCAGGGAAACGTACTGAGCAGTACGCCAAACTGAGGGCCATGGAGCGGGGGGTGGTTACCTCTGCATGCCCGTGGCACACATGGTGATGTGACAGGCTCCAAGCCGGTTGCAGAACTCCGAGGACACCGACAGAATGCTGACCCCAGACGGGTGGCTGCTGCCGCCACCTGACGCGCTGGGCTTGAAGTTGATGTAGGTCTGCATCAGACGACAGAGGTTGTCCAGGGCATTGAGGGGCCGCAGGAGCTGGGTGGGGAAAGACCAGTTAGAACCAGGGTGAGGGAGCACCAGCGCCCAATAAGCAGAGGAGATGGAAATCAGCTTCAAAGCCCAACCCCATTATAGCTATTATAATTAATGATTAAACGATATCTTAGAAATGTTGCATTACTTTTATTCCAGTGTTATGGCTCAAGGTATCCTATAGAGCAGGGGTGGGCAAGGTTTCTGCAAAGATCCGGTGTGTATGCAGGTTTTTGGGATAACCTTTAACCCAGCCGTTCAAACCCAAGTGTGATAATTTTTCAGCAAATAGCAATTTAATTAGGCAGTTGTGATGAAAACCTGCACACACAACAGCCCTCTCTGGATAAGACTGCCTACCCTTATTCTAGTGCATGAGAGCTGTCCCTCATGTAAAAAACCGTGTTTAAAATGAAGTGGACACCAGTGTAATCTGTGACTGACCTCTCGTCACTTCACATTGGTGCTGTCTAGAGTCCAGGCATTTGTCTGCCATCAGAATTAGCTAGGTAACACGCCAACACCGTGAAAACGGCCGAAGGACACTCAGTTTTAACAGCTAGTTACATGCGACTGGAAATGGTATTTTTAGGTTTTAAAGTGCAAGCGTGTTTAAGTGTTTTGACTGCCACGCTCAAATTAATTTTTATAGTTAATTTGATGTTGTTATGCTTTTCCCAACCCACTTCATAACGTTAACAATCAATTTGCCTTTAAGTGGTTGTCACGCACCTGCCGTTTAGAGTGGATAAAACTGGCAGTACTACAGAGAGATTTTTTCAAATACATTTATCATCATTTTTTTTTTGTTAAAAAAGGGAATTTAATTTCTGCTCATAACTGTACATGCAAGCTAATAAAGTTTGCTATTCGTGGTGGTGCCTACACCAATCTTCCAAGCGCCCTCCCTCAGTCTGGTCACATTAGGAACTGCAAGCACAAAGACTCACCTGATCTATTTTCACCGCTGTGCCGTTGGCGTCTGTGGGCAGGTTGGACTTTTCCAGGTAGAAAGCCCTAGAGAAGACACCATGATTGCGGCGACTCATTCCATGGCTTTAACGTACGTAACGTGGGCTGTGCGAGAGGCCTACCTGAGCCTGCGATAGTACAGTTTGACCTTCTCCAGCGAGACGGCGTTGATTTGCAGCTGAAACTCCTCCACGGAGACACAGTCCTGTATCGCTGGGCCCTCCGGTCTCTCTAAAGCTGATGTCACAGACACATCGATACAATGGGGACCACAGGCCATTACCCGCGTGGAGACGACACTTTCTAATACCTAAAATAGCTACAATGAGTTAGCACCAATTCTACGTGGACTGGCCAGTTGATGACAGCGCTACGTAGCACAGTCGCTAAAGAACTGTGAAGATATCATGAGGGATTCAGATTAGAATTCTTACAGGCATTGCTGTTGAACACCTGATAAATGAATTTAAGTTCTCCAGTAAACACCAATTTGTAAAAATTTATAATAATAATTGCAGGTGTGTAGAGAGTGGGTGATTACTATAAACATTTACGTTTACTTATTTAGCAGATGCTTTTGGTAAAATTGAGGATCTGAGGTCCCCGGAAGCAGCTGCAGTTAAGGGCCTTGCTCAAGGGCCCAATGGTGAAACGATTACTACACCAAGAGATTTAAACCCATGACCTTCCACGGGGACAGACCAGTCAATGTGTGAAAAAGGGTGAGACAAATTTGTAATGTAAACACATGACCACTAGATGGAGCCGGCAATCAACCGTTCCTTCTGTCATCATCCAACACGGTTCAATGAAAGTGGATGGCTTCATATTAGTTTACACGTCTTGTCATTTGTTTTGGACACAACAGAGCCAGTGTAAAATCCATTCTGACTCTGTCCTCATAAACACTATGGACGGGAGCCTGTTCCTGATGGCGAAAAGCCACCTGTGGCGCCACCTCTGGCGGACGCAGACTCACGTTTCGTGAAAAGCACCGTGTGCAGCTTGAGGCTGCCTCCGTTCTGCAGGCGGGTGGGCAGCTCGCTGAAGTGGCAGCTGTCGAGGTACAGGGTGACCCTGAGGGCCTGTCTGCTCCCCTCCACGTGGTAGCAAACCGACGTGTCTGAGGAGAAGCACAGGACCCCACTTACTTATATATACACTCCAAATACAGGTATACAGTATGCCATCCACTCCAAATACAGGTATACAGTATGCCATCCACTCCAAATACAGGTATACAGTATGCCATCCACTCCAAATATAGGTTGATGCCTTA